CCCCCCCCCCCCCCCCCCCCCCTCCCCCCCCCCCCCCCCCCCCCCGCGTTAGCTTTCCCCCCCTTGGCCCCCCCCCCCCCCCTTCCCCCCTCCCCCCCCCCCCCCCCCCCACCACCTCCCCTCTCCTCTGGACATCTGTGGGCGCGTCCGGTCCCCTCTTCCACTTCCCCTCCTTCGCTCCAAACAATCCTACATGGTGCCCTGTGCATGCATCAATACAGTCGATCGAATATGAGGCCTTTTCCTCTTGCAAGTGGTAATCTCCCTCTGAGGGGGGGGGGGGAGAACGAATACAATCGAGGCAAGGGTGTGTGCGTGTGTGTGTGTGGAGGAGATTTATATTCGCAGTAGGGTGGGAGGGGAGGCAGGTGTGCATAGGGGGGGGGGGGGGGGAGGAGTCCCTCCACACAGGAGCAGGACCACATCCATGCTCATGAGTGTGAACAAACCACGAGGCGCGACATACGGCGCAGCCGGGAGGAATGTGACCACACATGGCACGCAAAATGCATCCCTGGTTGTCCTGTGGTACTCTCAATGGGCAGGCCGATTCTCAGGAGAGGAAAGGAAACATGCCGCGGAGGGGCGCCGGAGGGAGGCGCGCGATCACACCCGGCCCCTTACCCCCCCCCCCCCCACAAGCACCGACATCTTACTTCTCCATGCGGCCGTCAGGGATGAGGATGAAGACAAACTCACCGTCGGACGCCTTGTCCACGATGAAGTTGGCCTTACGCTCAAACTGGATGATGTCCCCGACCTTCAGGTCGGCGATGTTCTCGGCGTTGGCGAAGGCAGACACCGTGGACACGGAGTCGTGGTTGACGAAGTCCTCGAAGTTGTCCTCGTCCTCAAGCTTGGGCTTGGTAATGAGGTAGCCAAACTCCTGGAGCTGGACCGTGGCCAGAGGGCTGTCCTTGGACAGCCAGGTGAGCTTCTTGGTCTTCTTGAAGTCGCCCTCCGGGTTGAAGTCGCCCTCCATGGCGGTGATGACACCAGCGTCGTCCTTGGTGATGGACTTGATGATGACATTGCCCAGGTCCATGAGGGTGACCTCCTCGCCCTCGACGAGGGAGGCCGCGTCGACGCTCTCCAGCAGGAGATTCGAGCTGACAAACAGCTTCTTGGTCCCGACGTCGGGGTTCTTCTTGTGCTTGGGGATGTCGCGCACGGCCGGCACGGCGTCCAGACCACGGACGGTCAGCGGCACGGCACCGTCCACATTGATGGCAGTGAAGCGCGGAGCCACCGGGTCGATGGCCTTCTTGTTGAGGGCCCACAGCTTGTTCCACTCCAGCAGGAGGATGTTCTTGGAGGCGCCCTGCATGAGGATGTACTCCTTGAGAGTCTCGACAGTGAGGCCGCGACGGAGGATACCTGGGTGGCGGCAGTGGCGGTGGCGGTGGCGATGGCGGTGGAGGGGGGGGGAAGTCAGCGAAGGGCGGACAATCCGAGAAAAGGGGAGAAGAGGGAGAGGCCGCCTCGCGACTGTCACCCGAGGAGGCAGAGGAGGCCCACGCCGTCAGGATGGCACACGGGTATGGACGTACCACGGACGGTCGGGAAGCGGGGATCATCCCAGCCGGGAACAACACCGTTGTCCACAAACCAGGCGAGCTTGCGCTTGGACAGCAGGGTGTGGATGAAGTTCATGCGGCTGTAGTCCCAGATGAAGGGCTTGCGCAGCTTCAGGGTGTCGATGAACCAGTAGTACTGGTCGTTGCGATCGCGGTACTCATTGGTACGCAGAGCATGGGTGACCCCCTCGTAGGAGTCGACGATCGGGCAGGCGAAGTCGTAGGTGGGGTAGACCTTGTACTTGGTGCCGGTACGGGCGTGAGGAACCTCGTTCACACGGTAGATGACCGGGTCGCGCAGGGCCTTGTTCAGGGCGTCAACCGACATCTTGGCGCGAACGCAGCAGGTCTTACCCTGTTTGGCGGGCGCACATCGGCAACCGGGACAGGGGGGTCGCGTGGCAGGAAAGATTCGAGGTCAGCACCATGAACAAGTGTAAGTCAGCAGATGCGCGCCGGGGGGGGGGGGGTCTCCCCCCTCCGGCGCCCTGGCCAAAGAGAGGAGCATATGGACGCACGAAGTCGGTGGCCTTCTTCATCTCCTCCCAGCGGCGGAGGTTCTCCTCGACCGACTGGTCGCGGCAGGCGGAAGCCACGCCGTCCATGCGCTGCTGGCGCATGACCTCCTGGACGGTGTCATCGACGTAGGCATGGCCCTCCTCGATCATGCGGACGCAGTAGGTCTCCAGCATCTCGAAGGAATCGGAAGTCCAGGTGACGGTGTCGGGCTTGATCTTCAGCAGCTCCAGGTCGTGGAGAATGGCCTCCTCGAACTCGGCCTTCTCCTTGGAGGGGTTGGTGTCGTCGAAGCGGACAATCAGCCGGCCATTGTAGCGCCGGGCGAAGTACTCATTCAGCAGGGCGGCCTTGGTGTGACCAATGTGCAGGTAGCCGGAGGGCTCAGGCGGGAAGCGGGTCACAACACCGGCCTCGACATTCGGCAGGCCAACCTCGAAGGACCCCTGGTCCTTGGAGGCGGTCTCGCCGCTGGCGGAGGCCTGCTGCTTGGCGGTCTCGCGCTGCTGCTGCAGCGACACGGTCCGATCAATGACCTTGGTGGCCGCGGGGTTGGTGGGCTGCTCCTTCATGAAGGCGAACCACTTGGCCAGGTTGGGGTAGGCAAAGTCGGCCTGGCTGACGCTCTCCACGAACTTGGGGTTGCCTTGGTGGGTGAGGTGTGGCAGGAGGAGGAAGAGGAGCAGCAGCAGCAGCAGCAGCAGCAGCAGCATGGGGGGTTAGAGTCAGGGGACGAAGCGGGCCGAGATAATGCGCGGGGGAGGACATCGGCCAAGCTGCCAGGAAGCCCGAGAGCGAGGCCGTGCCCGGGCAAATGGAAAAGGGAGGTGCATACGGTTCAGGCACTCGAACATGACGTTGTCACCGAGCTTGGCCTCGGCGCCCATGACAAAGCCATCGGCACCAAGATGGGCCTCGATGGCCTCGACGATGTCCTTCAGCTCCTCGGCAGTCTTCTCGTCATAGGCGAAGAAGTGGCGCACGGAGAAGGTGATCCAGGTGTTGGGCGAGGCGATCGGGCCGCCGAAAACCGGGTGCGGGGCGTTCTTGCCGGAGGCGGCGGCCGCGGCAGCGGCAGCGGCCTTGGCCTGCTTCTTGGAGATGGCCGGAGCGGCAGCGGGGGCAGCAGCAGAGTCGGTCATGTTGGGTGAGGAAGAGGGGGGGGAGGGGGAGGGGGAGGGGGCTTGTGTGTAAGTCTAGATCTACGCGTATTGATGGCCTCTCTTCAAGAGGCCGGGTGCGATTCCGAGAGTGGCTCCGGCTTACATTCCCCCACCCCATCCCTGTCTGTCCCGCCCCCCCCCCCTCACTCCCACCCGGGGATGATCTTGAGAGAGCCAAGCCGCGGGAATGGCATACATTGCGCAGCCTACCGACGTAATGCGTTGACCCCCCTGCCCGGGGAGCATGCCAGGCCGTGTCTTCCGCCCCCCCCCCCCCTCTAGCTCACAGTCTCCCCCACGAGTCGGCAAGCCTCCTGCCCGGGATGCGCCCCACCCCTCCCGGGCAGAGGGGTCTCCATGTCAAGGCCCGCGCGCCGGTTGGGTCCTTGACACACGCGAATATGTCGGCGCATGGGGCAGCCCACCAGGAACGGTGCATGGACTGCGTGGCCGGCCTCCGCGCGAACATGCACAAGATCCGAGTCAATGTCAATCGACCAAGGCCCCGCCGGCCATTGCGAGGAGCGAGCCCGCCCGGCCCCGGACTCCGTTGACTTGCGACGCCGAGTTTCGTCTGGGAGGGGGCTGATCCCCCCCCCCCCCCACCCGGTCGGGGCCCATTCTTCCATCACACCGCACCCGGGATCCAGTGTGTGGTCTTTTGCCTGCGCTTCCCCCTTGCTCTCTCCCTTTGGCACACGAAACGCCCTGACCAGCCCCCCCCCCCCCCCCCCCCCCCCCCCCCCCGCGCCCACGCTCTTCTGCTCCTCGCCACCCCCCGAGCTAGCGGCCCGTTCATGGTCGTGCTCAGACTGGGTCAATGGCCGATGTGAGAAGAACTAGAATAAAACAGCATTATTCCAACGCGCGCGCTTTGAGTCCCGCCGCGCTGGAGGGCACACCCGGAGTGTGGGAAAACAGTCGCCACGTGCGTTGGCACTCAATATGGGGTTGGTCAGGTGCCAGAGTATGGCGACGTGTGTATGTGGAGGGGGGGGGGGTCACCGCCGGCGCATCGCCCGCTCGGCCGCTGTGTTGGCCTGGCCGATCATCAGGGACAGGGAGTCGACGTTCTGTGTGTTTGTGCATGTGTGTGTGTGTGTGTGTGTGTGTGGCAGAGATCCCAGCGCGGGAGAAGAAAGACAGGCACAAGTCAGTGACCATGAGGTACCAGAGAGGGAGGCTAGACACAGGCGCAATCTCCCCGTGCTTGCTCTGCACGAGGCCGGGCAGAGCGACAGAGTGAGCTCAAGCACCACAAGTACGCACCTTGGCTACGAGCTCCGCCTGTGAGGGAGGCAGGTCCAGACGAGCGCGATCGCTGAACTCCTTCAGGTCAGCATGTTGCTTGGCCAGCGAATGTTGCAGGGTGGTGACTGAGACAGAAAGGTCACCCCGAGGGGGGGGGGGCGAGGGAGGGTCAGTCACAGGAGGCAGGAGTATCATTGAAGCGGACTGGCCAAGTGCCGAAAGGAACACCCATGACAGCGGCAAGGCCAGCGGCAAGACGCACGGCGTTGGGCGGAAAGCTCGTGTGCCGAAGTCTTGGGGGGAGTCTTCTGCACGGCCAGCAAGGCGGTCCAGTAATGCTTGAGCAGCTCCTTCGTGACCATGGTGTGGATGTGAAGCGAGTTGTTGACCACCTTCGGCAGGCGGGCTAATGGAGACGTCAAGCGAGCGAGGGAGAGAAGGGAGAGGCGGGGCAGAGAGTGGGAGGAGGATAGAGCATGAGAGAAGCTGGGTCGAGTCGGTGGCGGAAGAGGAGAGATGAAGAGAGAGAGAGAGAGAGAGAGAGAGAGAGCGAGCGAGTGACGCACTGTCGGCCACACTGGCAGCGTTGGACGCCGAGCGGGCCATCTCCTGAACACGCTTGCCGGAGGAGCGGAGCTCTTCGGCGAGATGCGATGTGCCGGATGGGCTGAATGCCTGGTGTGGGCGTGACAGAGGTGAGAACCAGGAGAGGGGGCAGATGCGATCCAGGAGAACAGGCGAAGCGCTCGGGACATACCACCGACGAGAGAGACGGTGACCAAGTGGACATGCTATGAAGAAGCCCTGCCGGGCCGACTTGACTATCCCCATGCTGTTGTGCCGGGCAACCGTGCCCCCGCCCGCGACAGAGTTAGAGTGTGGAGCGCGAGAAAAGGAAGAGGAGGAGGAAGGGGAGGAAGAAGAAGAAGAGATGGATGGAGGGCGAGGGCAAGCCAAGCCCCAGGACACAAGAATAGGCCACCGAGGCAGTGCGGGAGACGAACCGAGCGGAGACGCTTGGCCGGAGGTTCGGCCTCGGGAGGGGCTTCAGCCGGCCTTGAGGCCGGCGTTTCGGTCAGGAAGCTCGCCGCCCCGCCGAAGAACCGCGTCGTGTCGACAATGTGAAGGGAGTCATGCTGAGGCGGAGCAGCAGGCTCCAAGTCCACCAAGCGCGTCGACGCGTCCAACAAGCGCTGCGACAGCTGGCGATTGTACTGGTCATACTGCCGAGCCTTCTCCAGAGGAAGGGCCAGGCCGGGCTGCGAGCCGGCCCGAAGGCGCAGTTGGGCCTGGGCGTCTGTGGGATTCCGGCTGGACGCCACAGCCTTCAGTCCTGGGGACATGGATGTCACGTCGGCACCAAAGAGGACCGACGAGGCCAGGCGGTGGCAACGCCGTGCGATGTCCAGCGCTTGCCGGCGTTCCCCGCTCTCGGTCTGGACGATGACATTGTCCTGCAGCAGGTGGGTCAGCAGGGCAGCCAGTCGTGCGTGGCAAGGAGCGGCAAGGGAGGGAAAGAGGCAGCAGGCCACGGCTTGTGATCTGGGCACACGTACATGCACGAAGTCTTCACGCGTGGACTCCAGATCCACCAGGCGCAGAGCCCCCACGCGGGGGGTCTCACGCATGGCCAGAATCTCGGCAGCCACCACGGCGTCCTCGCCGTCAAAGAGCCGCAGCGAGGCGGCACCCCCGCGCGGCAGGGCCGACGCCGACGTCGTGGGGAAGAACATCGGCCGGTCGCTGTTGAAGTCCTCCAGTTCGAGGACAAACTTCTTCCAGAACTCTTGCTCGGAGATCTTGACATTTGGTGCCACATTCATGCACGTCAGCAGGGGTCCACAAAGCCCCGAGGAGGACCGGGAGAGGGAGAGGGAGAGGGGGAAGGCAGGGGGAAGCTCCAGCAGTAGCACGACGCACCTCGTGTGGCACCTTGGCCGCATGGAGCTGTCGCACTCGGGGGAACTGGACGAAAATGGTCCGGACCAGGGCCGGCGTGAAGACAAATGTCGGCCCGGTTCCCTGGACCGCGGTCCCGGCGTCGGTCGTGCCACTGTTCGAGCCAGCCGGCGCCGAGGCGGCGCTCTCCTCATCCTGGCCCCAGGCTGCCTGGATGTTGGCCACACGCTGGGGGGCGGCCGAGCGCTTCTGGTCGAAGTCACGCGCGATGGCCGCCGACCGGAGGAGATCCTGACGCGAGAGCAGCAAAGGGTGAGCGGACTTCACCACGAGGGACCGAGGAGCACGAGCATACATCGGAACATGGACATACCCTTCGCGAGGACCAGAACTCGGTGTCGGTCATTTTGCCCCCGATGACCAGGAGCTTGTAAGCGGCGGCCACCTGGTTCGTGTGCGAGCCCCATATACCGGAGGTTAGAGCAGGACCCGGAGCCGGGAGACGCTGGGAAGACAGCGGGAAATGCCGGCGAGTCAAGCACATCATGCGCGTACCTCCGGGTGCCGGCGGAGTGCATGCTCCTTGAGAACCCAGCCTGGAGGTTCTTTCATGGGTCCGGCAGGTGCGGCCGTGGCCAGCGTTGCAGACACCACCAGCGGCGACGTTGGGGGCGGCGCCGCGGCGGTCGCAGCGATGGCGCCCTTTCTCCGCATGGCAAACTGTCGCATGCCCGAGCCGGCGGGTGTCAGCCCCTGGTCGAGAGCGGAGGAAGGACAAAGGGTCCCAAAGCGACGCACCTCAATCAGATTTTGCAGGAGAGTCTTCGACTGCTCCGGGTCAGGACCAATGGCACGGAGGAGGATCTTCTCGTTGGGGTTGGTGGCTGGGCTGATGGTCCGCTGGGCGCCGCTGGCCAGGACCACTGTGACAAAGCTATTTTGATAGGGAACCAGGTTGATGAGGGGATTCTTGCGGGAGCGCTCTACATCCACCGGCAGCCATGGCGGATGGGGGTCAGGCGCAGGGGAGGAGGTCAGCCAGGGGCAACACACTCAAGGGAAACAACCATGCATGGAGACCCGGGGCGATGGGCAACCGACAGGGAGCTGGGATGGCCCCGTAAGAGCAAGTGAGGCACGCACGGAATTTGTCAAGCGCATCGACACGCAGGATCAGCCACTCGGGGAGGGTAGGTTCCGGGGTGGGTGGGTCATTGGGGCCCGAGTCGCGCTTCCAGACAATGGCCTTCATGTCGTCATCGAACCACACCCGGCCAACGGTATTGGCATACATGGCTGGGACCGCGTCGGCCGCCGGGGCCAAATCCGGCGGAATCTGCACATGGGACATGCGGGCGTGTGGGGGAGGGGGCGCGAGCGCGGGCGAGGAGACGAGGCTCAGGGGGCGGCGAAGGGGGAGGAGGGGGGAGAGGAGGTGGGGATGCGGTGCGGATTTTGTATGTTCCTCTGGGTGCGTGTGCGTGTGCGTGTGGGTTGGGCGGGGGAGGGGAGGGGGGAAATGAGGCGGGCTGCCGGACCTCTTGCCAATCGGGAGGTCGCGCCGCGACGGCACTTGGGTCTCTTTCTTTGGGCGCCCGGGCTTTCTTTGCGGCCCACCCCGGCCGGGGGGCTGGGCGGCCGCGACAAGCGTTGGGAGTATCTGAGTCTCACGATTAAAGTCCCGTGTTGCAGTTAACACCGGCTCGGTTGCGCGTTTCTCAGGCGACTGCTCCGGTGGCAGAAGGATGGTCTGCATGATCATTGCGTTGTGTGAACCGGGCGGGGGGTGGTCCGTGGCAAGGGTGTTTGGCCCTGGGGAACCGAGGGGCCGGGTGCTGAAGTGACTGGCATCATACCCGTGACTGGATCATCAGCACAGGCGTGAAGGTGACTTGATTTCAGAACGGAAATTCACTTCTGGAAATACATCACCGAAGATCGGGCTTCTGATGTGTTGGTTGCCTGGCGCGCCCGGTGCCGCTGGCGGCTGGCCGGGGGGAATCTCTTCCATGGCTCCGGCTCGGCCGCCGGCGTGTGCGCCCCCGGCCGGGTGTTTCAACCGGCGGTGCTCTGGCTCCAATGATCGGGCGGGGGTCGCACCGAGGCGGTTGGCCGTTTTCCCTGGCGACGATCCAGCCGTGTTGGATTTACCGCTGCCCCCCCCCCCCCCGGCCGCCTGACCCATGCCGCGGGTGGCGGGACTACGTGGATGCCCGCGCAAATTTTCCCGAGAGGGATTATTCCCCATGCATTTCGCCGGGCACCGAGAGCCGCTCCGTCTAGTCTGATCGCGCCAGGTTGACATCATCCATTGGCGCTCGCGCCCGTGTGCCGCATGCACCCCCCCCCCCCCCCCCCCGGCCCTCCGGCCCCACGCGCCATCTAGTTTTCAGCATCTCGACCCCGGAGGTTCTCGGGGGCCGTGTGGTCAGCGGACACGCCAGCGGGTGGCACTTTGGCCGGGGACCAACTGGCCTCTCCAGTGCTCTCTGATCTTGACCTCTCCGGTGGCCACATAGTGACGTCTTGATGCCGGATGGCCTTTCTTCGTGCTCCGGCGGCTCCAGGCCCAGCTGGTGGCCTGGATGTCTCCCCCGTGAGCCAAGGGCCGCCCTGTTCTCGAGGCCTCGCTGCCTGCCAGTGGGCGGCCATCCACACCCCCACATCCCGTCACCTCGCTCTCCCTCCTCCCCCTTCCTACTCTTGCTCCTTCTCCCGAGGCATCACCATGAACGCCGAGGAGTTCCGCAAGTACGGTCACCAGATCGTCGACTACATCGCCGATTACTACTCCAATCTGGAGCGCTTCGATGGTACCTTATCGCATCTCCCCCGCGCCGGCCGGAGCCCGGCTCGATCGCCATTTCCGGGCCCCGGGGCTGCTCTTCGCATCCTCTTGACATCGGCCTAACCTTGTGCACAGTCCTCCCGGATGTGGAGCCCGGTTACCTGGCGCCCCTGCTGCCGGCCTCGCCGCCGACCACCGGCGAGCCGTTTGACCAGATCTTCGCCGACTTCCAGAAGTACATCATGCCCGGCGTCACACACTGGCAGCATCCGCAGTTCTTTGCCTTCTTCCCGGGGAACTCCTCTTTCCCGGCGATGCTCGGCGATATGCTGTCCGGCATGATCTCCTGCGTGGGCTTCAACTGGGTGCGCCCTCGATGGACGGGACATGTCACATGCGGCGTGCCTTCTGCTGGCCGGTCGACTGGCCTGCCTCCCTGTGCATCGTCTTGCCATATGTCTGAGTGCATGTTTTTCCCTGCTGCCCATTCGCATTCTCCTGGCCATTTACACCCGCACGCACGCACGCACGCACGCACGCACGCACGCACGCACGCACGCACGCACGCACGCACGCACGCACGCACGCACGCACGCACGCACGCACGC